AATATGCAGACTTGGCACGATTAACAAAAGCCTTGATGTCTAGCCTTGCACATCCAGATCAGAGGCAAAAACTAAACAACCAGCCAACTAACATATGGTCCTTAAAATCACTAGAACAGAAGTGCCCATGTGTCCAAGAGAATACAGAAGATATTATTGGATGTTAACCTGGGTAAAATTGTAGTGAAGTTTTACGTGGCCTGGGATACTCATCAATGTGGTATAGTCAGAATATTACACTAGGCTTAGGAAGACTGGGATACAAATAACTACTTAGCAATGGTACTGACTTTGGGCAAGTCTTTATATCTTCCGGGGTAGCCATTAGAATAAAAAAATGGGGGGAGGGGGAGAACAACGCTGAGTACTCCTCAGATAAAGGATGAGATTAAAATGAAATAAATATCTAGGCTTAGGTTTGGCAGGCTTTCATTATATCAGCTCCCTGCTCCCTGTGTTTAGCAGCTACCATCTCTGCAGGCAATCCTTATATCTGCTGCTAGAAGTAGGGATTTTACAGCAGTTGCCCCACGTCTGTGGGATGATCTCACTCTAGAACTGAATACTTCTTACTTCTGGTGGAAACTTCCTAGTGGAAGTTAATACCACACATCCTTTCTCACAAGGCTTTGGAGATTTCTTCTGAGAATGAATTGGAATGGCTGATTTCTGTTCTTGGCTGCTTTGTTTGGCTGCACAGTTTTTATCTTGCATTTACAGATATTTTTACATGATTTGTTCTTTTGCTTTGTACCAAGCCTTATGAGGAGTGGCTGAAGGTACTGGGTATGTTTAGCCTGGAAAAGAGGAGACTGAGAGGAGATATGAAAGCCACCTTCAAATATCTTAAGGGCTGTCACGTGGAAGATGGAGCAAGCTTGTTTTCTCCTGGCTTGGAGGGTAGAACTTGAACCAATAGCTTCAAGTTACAAGAAAGGAGATTACAGCTAAACATCAGGAAGAACTTTCTGACAGTAAGAGCTGTTCAGCAGTGGAGCGGTCTCCTTTGGGAGGTTGTGGACTCTCCTTCATTGGAGGTTTTTAAGCAGGCATTGGATGGCCATTTGTCATGGATGCTTTCGTTTAGATTCCTGCACTGCAGGGAGTTGGGACTATATTCTACGATTCTATGCACTGGAAAAAGAGACATACAAATGGTATACATTTAATAAACACATACAAATTAATGAAACATACTCTGTGGTAACTTTGGTTCCTTTGAATGTTTCTGAAGGAAGTCTTTTGGATTTGGCACCTGGACTTTTGGTGGTCCTATGGTTTTCCACGGTGCTTTGCTTTGCTGTATTGTATTTTTACATACGTTTTCAATGTCGATACATATCTTTAGTGAAGAGAAAATATACACACAATAATTAGGGCTGAAAGAGAAGCTACAGGCTATCCCCCCCCCAACAGACCACTGTCTTCTTGAGCACTGTCCCTTAATGACTGTTGTCTATCAAAGTAAAAAATGAACTATTTGAAAAGAAATAATATTGTTCTGATCTCATTTGTGCCTGAAATCAGCAACACCCATTGACCTGGTTCACATGACACAGTAAGCCAAACTACGGCTCACCAGACCATGCAAATGGGCCGCCTCAAGAGGAGGTTGTAGTCACCTTGCTCTGCCCCAGTCTTCCCAACTCCCGTGCAAAGTTTGTTCTTGGCTGTAGCAAGGAATCATAGAATTGTACAACTGGAAGGAACCCCAAGCATCACCTGGCCCAACTCCCCACAATGCAGGAATCACAGCTAAGGAGAGTTTATAACTACAAGCCCAGGTTCAGGTGACATGCTAAGTCAAAACTGGGCTTAGTTGAGCACAGTGTGGGAGTAATAAAGACTGGGGAGGAAATAAGTGACTGTGACACCTTCACATGGTCCCATTAAGCCATAGCTTGGTATTATACACTGCACACCTATCCAGGGTTAAATCAACAGTGGAATAAAAGTCAGCAAAAATAGGGAATTGCTGTTCCAAAGTGATTCTCTTTACTAGCTTTGAAAACACTGTTTCTCATTCATTTTATCACTTTATAGTGATTATATTGAATTTCTCTCTTGGTCTGCCATGACTTCAAGTGGTTTGGGTCACATGAATGAGAAAGGCATAACATTTGCCTGAGCTGGTGAAATTAAATTTCATTGATTGCTGTATATTCAAAAAGACGTGTCCATTGTATAATTCTGCCATTAGTGGTTCACGCAATAAAAATCCTAACCACATAAGACAGAGCTGGGGAGCGTTCTCTTTGACTGCAATTTGCAGCAATTCCTTATACATCAGCCACACTAGTATGCTATGAGAGGATACGAAGCATATCTTGAAAAATTAAAAAGATAGAAAAGAAAGGAGAACAGCATTAAATACTAGGAAGCAAAAAAGAAAAAGGCAAAATCTCAAAATTATATTTGAGCTTTCACACGATGTAAAAGTCACTTCCAGAACTATAGTGGATTACAGTGAAACTATAGTGGAATATAATGCAAGTTAGCACTCATTTCCATATTATTTGCTAACAGATTTTTTTCGGGAAGTAAATAACATAGAAATGAATAATAAACTTGCACTATATTCCACTATAGTTCCAGAAGTATTCTGTCGTAAAAACAGAATAAACTGCCATGTGAATGCACCCAAATGTCCCTTCTCAATTCCAAGGCTGTAGTATGATAAAAGGTAAAGGTAAATGGACCCCTGACCATTAGGTCCAGTCGTGGTCGACTCTGGGGTTGCAGCGCTCATCTCGCTTTACTGGCCGAGGGAGCTTCCAGGTCATGTGGCAAGCATGACTAAGCCACTTCTGGTGAATCAGAGCAGCGCACGGAAACACCGTTTACCTTCCCGCTGGAGCGGTACCTATTTATCTACTTGCACTTTGACGTGCTTTCGAACTGCTAGGTTGGCAGGAGCAGGGACCGAGCAACGGGAGCTCACACCGTCACGGGAAATTGAACCGCCGACCTTCTGATCAGCAAGTCCTAGGCTCTGTGGTTTAACCCACAGTGCCACCATGATAGGAGACACAAAATTCATTTGAGCAGAAAAATTATTGCAACACTTTCCATAGGAACACGCCAATCACTGATTGACAAGTATAAAAGGTTTGTCAGAATGAGTCCCAAGTGTCCTTACCCACATACCTAGGTGCCTTGCAAGACTTATCCAGATTGTAAGGTAGAAGGTTGTAAATGCTCTCCTCCATGCACATTGCTGCCATCTTCACAGTGATACAGTGATACAGTCTGCAGATAATTCAAATTGCCAGACTTCTAAAGTGAACTGTCTTAAAATATCTGTGTCTGTGGAGGGGATACATTGATTGAAAATGTATTGTAACTATTGTAACTTTTGAATATATTTTTTTAAATTAAAAAAAAAACTCTTTTAAAAAGTGAACTGCCTGTCACATTTTGTCTGATAAACACCATTCCACCTCTCCTTTCGGGTTTTTCTCCCTGCATCCCGTCCCCCAGGCACATACTTCTTACCCTCCCCTTCCTTCTTTTACACTCTATATTCTTCTCGTTTGCACATTCCTCCTTGGCTGGTCACTATTACCCTTTGACCTCAACATTTCAACCATCCCAGTTCCACGGTTTGCCCTAATATCGCTCACATTATCACTCCCAGCCTCCTCTCTAGGTCTGCACAGAGTTGACCCTGGGCCAGAAGTTGTTGGGACAGCCTCCACCAGCACGACCAGTAATCAGGGCTGCAGAGAATCGTCCAACCACATCTGCAGCACCACGGGTTTCTCACCCATTTTTCCAAGTAACGACATCACATGCCGAGTCTCTACAACCTAACACCTGAATTGTCCTGCCAAGTGGGTGAGGAAGGTCTTATTGTACTTCTGCACTTGGCTGAGGAAACCCATGTATGACTTCCCCAGAGTTATGTTAAACCTCACCCTGCGGTAGCTTGGATAGTTTTAACACCACCATCCTGCCAAGTGATCGGGCGATGTGCTTTGCCACACATCAGCTGCCATATGTGCAAGATGTATGCTGCACAAGTTAAAAGCAGCTATCGGAATAGGCTCCAGAAATGCTATAATGCAATGTCAAAGCGCGTACAATTTTTTTTTTTTTAATTACGGGTCATGGTTCCCAAAAATACACAAATGCTTTTCGTTCAGGGTCTGGGTTTAAAAAAAACCTCCAGTTAAAAGGCTGTCAAGGTGACAGAGCTGGGAAAGGCGAGGCTTTGGGGAGCTGCTGCTACTGCTGCTTATCTGAACAGGCAGAGATGAGATTGATGATAATGATGATGATGATATCTTAGCCTTTGAGATGTTGTTGGATTACAAAACCCCACTTCGCCAAGAAGCTCACTGGGTGACTTCGGGCCAGCCACTCTCTCAAGTTGACCTACCTCGCAGGGCTGTTGTGAAGTTAAAAATGTGTGAGATTTGGACCCCCCCCCAAAAAAAAAGTGTGAGAGAGAAGCACGTGCGGCGCTCTGAGCTCCTTATGAGAGAAGGCGGTGTATCAATCTACCAACACGCAAGGAGTCCAGGGCGAACGACCTGCCTGTCTCGCATTCCCACGCGCGCCGTCTGCACCCGCTCAGAGCCCCTCTTGCTTTCCCTGCTCCCTGCCCGCCCTTCCCATCCCTTCCCCGCCTCCCTCTCTTCGCCTTACCCCGCTCTCCTCTCTCTCCTCCGAGCCCTTTTCCGCTCCCGTTCGAAGCCTCCTCGGCTGCCGCGCATTAGAACGAGCGGCACTGTTTGGTCGCCCTTGGAAACCACCGCTTAGCAACGCGCGCGCCTGTTTGTGTGTGTGTGGAACGGGAGAGAGGCTTTGTGACGCCATTTCCGGGACTGTGCCGTGAACAATGAGCGAAGCCGGGGAGGAAAGGAATGGCGCGCAGGCGCAGCAGGGGCAGGGTGGGAGGACGCCGCCGTAGAGATACTGCACGGAGATAGGAAGGAGGACGCCGCCGGCGTGGGAGTTCGCGCACGCGTAGTAGCAGGTAGGTCTGCTTGCATGTGGTTAGAGAGGGGCTGGGTTGAGCAATGGCGGAGAGGCGCTTTATGGGAGGGCAGGGCTTTTAATTTAATTTTTTTTTTGCGTGCCTTGAAACGGATTCCTTCCTTCCTTTTCGGATCCATGCTACGTGCATGGGTCCTTTCCCTGCTCACGAGGAGCAGTCGCCCCTCTGCTCTTGGCAGCGTTGGCAGGGAATGGGGGGAACGGGTGGGTTGCCCTCTGGTTGCCCTGAAGGGAGAGACTCGGTCCCCATCCTGCTCGAGGCGCTGCATTGGAGCAGGAGCCTCCCTCCCCACCCACTGACGAGACCGGGGGACGCCCCATATCTTGAAGAAGAAGGGATACTCTTCGTTGCTTTGTTTCTGCTGCAGCGGAGAGAAAAGTCACGGGTCGCTGAATAAAGTTTAAAGGGTGTCAAAATTGTGGCATGCATGAGGTCTGGTGGGCCCGCCGGCATCAGATGCACCACGCGAGTAGGCTGACATTTGCACACATGGGGAGAAAGGAGGGGGAAAGCAGCAGAACCCCAAAGCAGTAAAGTGCAAGAGGCGCAACCCGTGGGTTTCTTACGCAGAGCTCAGATGTATACATGAATGCATTCACAACTGCAGCCCAGTAAATTGGCAATACAATAAATTTGCTCAGCAGAGCTAGGCAGATCCCAGTGGTGGGGTTTTTGTTTTTTGTTTTTGTTTTTTAAGAATCAAAAAGGTGCTGGTACACAGTTCTTGAAGTAAGCGCCACACTTTTATCATTTGGTGTGGGGGATGTTGGAGGCAATAGGCCTCTGAATACCATTTGTGCTCAAATTCTGCTTGTAGGCTTCCCCTAGGTATCTGGTTGATCAGTATGAGAATAGAGTACTGTACAGTGGTACCTCAGGTTGCATACGCTTCAGGTTACATACACTTCAGGTTACAGACTCTGCTAACCCAGAAATAGTGCTTCAGGTTAAGAACTTTGCTTAAGGATGAGAACAGAAATCGTGCTCCGGCGGCGCGGCAGCAGCAGGAGGCCCCATTAGCTAAAGTGGTGCTTCAGGTTAAGAACAGTTGCAGGTTAAATACGGACCTCCGGAACGAATTAAGTACTTAACCCAATGTACCACTGTATTGGACTAGGTCGTTGGTCTGATCCAGCAGACTCTTCTTATGCTGCTTGATGTCCTTTGTAGAAGTGTGGGATGTAAATGTAATAATAACTAAAACCGACATTTGAGAAGATTCACACGTGTTGCCTATGGAAGAAAGCTGGCCACTGCTGGGTGAGAAGCAGTGATTACTAAGACAATTCATATTGGTCACATTTGAATTAATACATTGACCCTTCACTTCATTCTTGCCATACTCCTGTTCTTCCAGCCTTCTTAGAAGTCGGATTCTGCTTTGAATTGGGGTCATTGCTACTGGCATTGCTAGGTGCAAGTTATGGAAAATGCTTTGCAATTGCATTCTGATTGTTTAATATAGTAACTGATGCCTGCACAGGAAGAGGAAGAGAATTGCAAGGCAATTCTCAAATCACTGGATAATTTTAAAATTTTCATAAATGAGTGCTATTTAAAGCTTATCCACAAATTCTGTTTTCTCTTTCATGTTGTACAACAGCTAATGGCACAAAGAAGTATTGGAAATACCAACTTACTGCTTCCATGTTACATCATAGTTATTGTAATCATCTATGCTGCATGGCTAAAATATGTATTGAATTGCTCATGGCAATCTTATTTTTGGATGTTATTTGCCAGTTTAAAGAGGGGAAGCAATTGGTTGCTACTAAAGAACTGGACTCGGGTGGCGCTGTGGGTTAAACCACAGAACCTAGGACTTGCCGATCAGAAGGTTGGCGGTTTGAATCCCCGCAATGGGGTGAGCCAACCTGGCAGTTCGAAAGCACGTCAAAGTTCAAGTAGATAAATAGGCGGGAAGGTAAACGGCATTTAATAATAACAATAACAACACCCTAGTGGTCCCAGGCCCTAAGGAAGTTAGATTGGCTTCAACCAGAGCCAGGGCCTTTTCAACTCTGGCTCCGGCCTGGTGGAACGCTCTGTCTCATGAGACCAGGGCCCTGCAGGATCTGATTTCTTTCCGCAGGGCCAGTAAGACAGAGTTGTTCCGCCTGGCCTTTGGCTTGGAGCCAATTTGATTCCCTCCCTCCCTCTCTTTCTTTTTTCTTTTCCTTCTCCTCCTGCAATGAGGCTACATTTTAATATTTTAATGTTCCATTATTTTAATGTATTTTATTTTTGTTTTTAAGTTGTAATCATTCTTCTTGTTTTTATTATTGCTTGTAAGCCGCTCTGAGCCCGGCCTTGGCTGGGGAGGGCGGGGTATAAAAAAATTTATTATTATTATTATTATTATTATTGTTATTATTATTATTATTTCCGTGCGCTGCTCTGGTTCGCCAGAAGTGGCTTAGTCATGCTGGCCACATGACCCGGAAGCTGTATGCTGGCTCCCTCGGCCAATAAAGTGAGATTAGCGCCGCAACCCCAGAGTCGGTCACGACTTGACCTCATGGTCAGGGGTCCCTTTAACTTTACCTATGTCTGACCTGAGACCGATAGATATTCAAATTTTTCTTCAACAGTTTTGTTGCAATGATAATGTAATGGGAAAAAACCGTTTGGGGTTTCCAAGAGGACATCACTCAGATCTATGGTATTTTAAGGGCAAATCCTTGGGATAGATTTGAATTCTTTGGAATCAGAGCTGTAGAAATATTATTCAATTCATTGCTTTCTGGTTAAAGTAGCACACATTACTGGAAGTGGGGTAGCAGTGCCTTTATGGGAGCTTTATGTGTACCTACATTAGTATTCATGGGCGTAGCCAAGGGGGAGCAGCTGCCCCGCAATCAATAAAAATACATAGCAAACTGAGGTTCTGCCCCCGCCCCACAAAAGGCTTGCCACCCCCAAAAAATCCTGGCTACGCCCATGTTAGTATTCATCAAATTTCAGCCTGGATCTATTTCAGCGGGGCCACATTGGGTGTGTGACAATAACTGTATAAAATATAATACTTTTAGTGTACAGTAGTTCAGAAAACCAGCCATGTCCCAGAAGGCCAGTGTTCTACATAGATGGTGAATTGCAGCCATGTTTTTCAGCCAGGGAAGGGCAAAGAACTGTGAGTTAAATATTTGCACTGGCACAATCACAGTCATGGCCCCACACTGCCGAAGGACTCTGCTGATTTCTGGCCCAGTCACCACTTTCCGTCTGTTTCTCGCATGTAAATCTAGGTTTCCCAAAGGAATCAGCACATATTCCTGTAAAGAGACAAGCTGCTGCTGAAGAAGTACGTATAAGCTCTGTGACCTGCATTCATTTGTATACATCAGCTAAATTTTCTAAATAAAAGAAAGTAAGCAACTTAAAAAGAATAAAGTTACAGTTAAAGCACATTGGAGGTATTCTAGTAATGCAGTAGAACAAACAAAATCACTACAAATATTAAATGTAAAGGTCACCATGGAAATGTAATAAAAAATATTTTTTATGCCTTTATACCCCACCTTTCTTTCATCCAAGTAGTGGCCAGCCCAGCACTGCTTCAGCAAATTGTTTCATTTGCCTTCAAACCATAACCTGGGACTCATTGCAATTACTTATCCATCAGGAAATGCACCTGAATTTTTATTTTATTTTTTTAAAAAGCTTTAGCTGGATGATGGAATAGAGTTGGGGAGAAGGTTCCTGCTCCAAGCCCCCGAAGACTTGAATAGCACAGAAAAAGTGGGAGCATGGAATATAGAAAACAATTGCTGTGTGAATGTCGTACTTCTCTGTTATGCTAGTTGACTATAACTAGCAGACTTCCACCCCTGCAGATGCTGTTGGCCTACAACTCCTTAGCCATTGGCTGTGCTGGCTGCAAGTGATAGTTGTAGTCCAACAACCACTGGAGGACCACAGATATCCCTGCCCCTGTGCTATGACTAGAATGGAGGAGTCCCTTCAGGACATTTATGCCCTCTTGTCTTACAGGCTGCATACAGTGGTACCTCGGTTTAAGAACAGTCCGGTTAAAGAACGATTTGGTTTATAAACTCCGCAAAACCAGAAAGAGTGTCTTGGTTTGAGAACTTTACCTCAGTCTAAGAACGGAATCCGAATGGTGGAAGGGCACCGGCGACGGGAGGCCTCGTTAGGGAAACCATGCCTCGGTTTAAGAATGGTTTTGGTTTAAGAATGGACTTCCGGAATGGATTAAGTTCGTAAACCGAGGTACCACTGTACTTCTTATGGAATAAACATGTCAAAAGATGCCAAGGGGCAAAAATGAACAGTATAAGATGGTGAATGAGAATGGTTCTTCTGGCACCATTAAAGTAGCTCAGCAAGTGAAGGAAGCTTTGTTTGTCTAGAACAAAGTGGGAAACTTGTCCTGCTCCAGATGTTGAGCCCCAACTCCCATCAGCCCCAGCCAGCAAGGCCAATGATTAGGGATGATGGGAGTTTCCCAAAGCATCTGGAAGGTACCAGATTAGCAAAGGCTACATTAAACTCTGCTTTCACCAAAAATATTTTACTTGCAAGAGCTAAGCATCTAGCATTACCAGAATGCAGGATTACAGTGGTACCTCGGGTTACATATGCTTCAGGTTACATACGCTTCAGGTTAGAGACTCCGCTAACTCAGCAATAGTATCTCGGGTTAAGAACTTAGCTTCAGGATGAGAACAGAAATCGTGCTCTAGCTGTGCGGCAACACCGGGAGGCCCCATTAGCTAAAGTGGTGCTTCAGGTTAAGAACAGTTTCAGGTTAAGAACGGACCTCCGGAACGAAATAAGTACTTAACACGAGGTACCACTGTATATTGTTTTCAGGGCCAAATTGTTTTAATTTTGAAAAGGCAAAGCGTACGAGGTTTTCCTAGTCTCCTGACTTGAAGTGTGTGCCCTGTTTGCTTTGTGGTACGTGTTGACGTCGCTGTTGATTTCCCTGAGCAAACAAAACGAATCCACTCTTGGCAACGTGTTCATGTTCTGGGGCTGGAGAGAGTCCTCTTTGCCCGGTGCTTGTTCTTCTGTTGCCTCTGGAGAGCAATTGCTTGTGCGGCATTTGCTTCACTCTGATCTTTCTCTTTTATTCTCCTCCATCTAGATTGAGGCTTACAGAAAGAAAAGAAAGCCGTACGTGGTTGCTGCACAAGAGCACGTCACAGATGCCATTTGCCTGGGCTTGTTATTAATTTTTTGCAATGCCTGCTCAGACGATAACGGAACAGAAGTGATCTACTCTTGCAACTGTAAGTTATGTAACAAAACGATTGGTTGGTTGGTTTCAGAGGAAGAAAATATATTTGGATGCAAAGAAAGGATTTTATATAAATGCATAAAGTGCACTCTGGCTCCATTTAAATGACTGGAGAAGTCTTGACATTCCAGTGGGAGTTGAATTGCACTCTTGGGTGCTTTTGTTTGTGCGTTTTAAAGTATTCGTTGTAATCAGCTGTCACCTTCTATAGGTTTGCCATCCTCTGGTAGTTAGGGTTAATGTGCCCCAAATATTTCCTTACATGTGCAGATAAAGGCAAGGGGAGGGCAGTGGGGGTACAGTATGTCTAAGAAATGGAGTACATACTGGTGTTTCTAGCAGCCAGTTTCGGGAGCTCCATTTTTTATTGATTCTGAGAACATTCCCTGCCTACAGCCAGTGCCTCTATTGAGTATTCATTGTAGGTGTTAGAGGTGGTTCTGTCCTGTTCTGCTTGTGGCTCTTAGCCAAGGAAACAGTTAAGCTATCCTACGCACAGAAAATGAACTAAGTGTAAGGATTTTATGCAGGAAGGCACAGAGGCTTATTTTTTTAAGCATGTGGCTTCTTTTCAGAGTAGAAATTTCACAACAAGCACGCATGCTTTAAAAGGAAAACCTTTCCCCTCTGCACAGATTTCACAGAAGGTGGAATTCAATAAAATCCTCACCATTTATTTGTCATGATCAGGTCACAGAATGGGTGAGCGATCTTGTTTAAAAAAAACCCCAAAACGTGCTCCCCTAAGATGGGAATGGAGCAGTCAGAAGTGTCTTCACATTCTAGTAATTATTTTAAATGTCAAGTGGCTAAGGTTTAAAGTATTTCTGGCTCACTGGATTTTCCCTTCCTCTTCTTTTAAAGCGTTTCCTTTCCTTGTGAAATTGGCTCGAGAGAAAAGAAGAAGATGTTTCATGTGGTCTGGAATCGGCATCTAAAGCTAATGAGTCGCATCGTGGTTTCTGATGTGTATTTAAAGTTGATTTTTTCAAGAAGCTTTGCCCTTGCACGGACACCATGGATGTCTAGGCATTCTCTTGTCGGGGACAAGAATATTGTCCTGATGGGACCCCCTGGTGCCGGTAAAACAACAGTGGGGAGAATAGTAGGGCAGAAACTAGGCTCCTGCTTCATAGATGTGGACGACGATGTCCTTGAAACAACCTGGAACATGAGTGTGGCAGAAAAATTGAAGGATGTTGGCAATGAGCAATTTTTAGAAGAGGAAGGAAAAGCCTTGTTAAATCTTTCAGCATCCGGAAGTGTCGTTTCCCTTACTGGCTCCAACCCAATGAATGCTGCCAGCATGGAGCACGTGAAGAAAAACGGGGTTGTGGTCTATCTGGACGTACCGACACAAAGCATCATGGATCGGTTGCAGTTGATGAAAGTAGACCGTATTGTAGGGCAGGGGCCCGGAACCTCACTGAGAGACATTCTCCAGTTTCGGAAGCAGTTTTATAAGAAGTGGTACGATGTCCGTGTGCTTTGTGAGAACGGAATTACAGCCGACGCTGTTGCCGAGAAAGTGCTTCATGCAGTGAAGCGGTACCAAGACTCTGACTCAGATGGCTTCATTTCCACCAGGAGTCTAAGATGCAATAAGAAGGTTGAGCCAAAAGGCTCTGTGAAATATTTCAGCGATGTTCTTGTTGAGGGACTGGCGCCTGATGGTGGGCTTTTTGTTCCTGAGATGGGGCTTCCAGTATTCACTGCAGGAGAATGGCAACATCTACTAGGCGCGAGCTATGCTGAAAGAGCTCAGGTTATACTGGAAAGGTGCATACATCCTGCTGATGTGCCTGCTTCCAAGTTATGGGAAATAGTTCAGACTGCCTATGGACAAAATTTTACCTGTTCTAAAATTGCCCCCGTTAGGCACCTGGCAGGCAATCAGTTTCTTCTGGAGCTGTTTCATGGACCAACGGCTTCATTTAAGGATTTGGCGTTGCAGTTGATGCCCCACCTGTTTGCATATTGCATCCCCCAAAGCTGTAACTATCTGATCTTGGTAGCTACTTCCGGTGACACAGGAAGTGCCGTCCTGGATGGTTTTAGTCGGCTTAAGGAGACGGATAAACAAAGGATTGCTATGGTCACCCTTTTCCCCCAGGATGGAGTTAGCCAGATTCAGAAATCACAGATGGTCGGCTACCAGGAAGCAAACACAAAAGTAATAGGTGTCAGATCGGATTTTGATTTTTGCCAGTCTGCCATCAAGCAGATGTTTACCAATTCAGATTTTACCGGCTTTCTCACTGTGGAATACGGGACAGCGTTAAGTGCAGCAAATTCTATAAACTGGGCTCGCTTGCTTCCCCAGGTGGTCTATCATGCCTCTGCCTACCTTGACCTTGTAGAGCAAGGCATCATTTCCTTTGGGAACCCTGTCGATGTCTGTGTTCCCACAGGGAACTTTGGCAACATACTAGCGGCTAAGTATGCGCAAATGATGGGGATCCCTATACGGAAATGCATCTGTGCTTCCAATCAAAACAACGTCTTGACGGAGTTCATAAAAACAGGCCTGTACAATATAAAGGAGAGGCGATTAATGCAAAGTCTGTCACCGGCAGTGGACATTTTGAAGTCTTCCAACCTTGAACGACATTTGCACTTGATTGCTAATGGGGACGGGCAGCTGGTGACGCAACTGTTTAGCAGTCTGGAGAATCAGCGCTGCTTCCAGTTGCAGGAACACTTCCTGGACAGGCTTCAGCAGGATTTGGTGGCTGATTGGTGCTCTGAGGACGACTGCCTGGGTGCCATTCGCTCTGTGTTCGATACCACAGGCTACATTTTAGATACGCACACAGCTCTCGCAAAGGTGGTTGCCGATCGACTGCAAGATAAAACTTGCCCGGTGATCATTTCTTCTACGGCTCATTATTCCAAATTTGCACCTGCTGTCCTACAGGCATTGAGGATTGGAGAAATCAAGCAGACTCCGTTAAGTCAGCTTCACTTGTTAAACTCTTATAACCCTTTGCCTCCGGTCCACAGGGGCCTATTAGAGACTCTGAAAAAGAACGAGAAGCAGCAGTACCAGGTTTGTGCTGCTGACATGAACGTCCTTATGGAACATGTTGAATCCTTAATACAAAACCACTTCATGAAGGTTTTCTAACTGTAGGCTTATTTGACATTTGCCTCCTATGGCGCTTTGAATATTTCCCCCCCCCTCCTCCTCCTCCTGACACATTCACCCAAAAGCATGTTTTAATAAATACTTAGTAAACACAGTAGCTGCCTTTTAGTGACTATATACTGCCAGATATTTACATGCACGAGCACTGAATGCGGTGTAAGAAACAAAACAAGCATTGTTGAAAATAATAATGTCATATTCCCAAAGGTGAGATCATTGTTTGGAAGAGAAATAGAAAAGGTTAGCATATGGTTCCCAGGGAAGTCCTGTTTTGGATGCTCAGTATTGCTCACACGGTCTTGCAGCAATTCTCCAGGGTTTCTTTCTGCCCTATCATAGAATCGTAGGGTTGGAAGAGGCCATGAGGGTCCTTGCAGTGCAGGAATCTTTCACCCAACGTGGGGCTCAAACCCGTGACTCTGGGATTAAGAGTCTCATGCTATACCCACTGAGCTAATGAGAGGAAGAAGAAGAACCTGGGACCTTCTGCATGCAAATGAGATGTTCGAAAGCACGTCAAAGTACAAGTAGATAAGTAGGTACCGCTCTGGCGGGAAGGTAAACGGCATTTCCGTGCGCTGCTCTGGTTCGCCAGAAGTGGCTTAGTCATGCTGGCCACATGACCCGGAAGCTGTACGCCGGCTCCCTCGGCCAGTAAAGCGAGATGAGCGCTGCAACCCCAGAGTCATCCGCAACTGGACCTAACAGTCAGGGGTCCCTTTACCACTGAGCTACAGCCCTTCATCAGATTTTTCTGGTTGGCCAGGGAAGGAATAACAAATAGTTTTGGGGAGATACTTTGTGCAACACTATTTAGCCGTTAGCCACAAGATGGCATCCTTAACAGTTTGCTAACAGTAGTTTACTAATAATAGGGTTGCCATATTTCAAAGTTGTTTAGCTTTTTTGGGGAATCCTCCCCCCAAAATAGTGTTTTTGCTGCTTTTTACATCACGTTGCCATACATTACATCCAGGTTTTCCCCTGACATTTTGCCAATTTGGCAAAATTGCCCCCTGACGCCATTTTTACAACTGGAAACCAGGACATGTCAGGAACTTTCCTGATGTATGGCAAGCCTACTAATAGCATTTCAAAGTCTGGACTTGCATTAAAGGAATCTTTGAGTTATCCATAATAGCTAAAAGAAATACTTATAAATTGGGGGTGAGGAAATTCATCCCAATTCCTTAAAAGGTGGGAAGAAGAGAATGCAGAGAAGCACCACACACGTAAAATATTGTTGGGCAAAATCCTTTGGGCCAGCTTTAACACTGGGAAGCTCTTCCACAGAGCAAACAAAGGTCTCTCAGATGGGTTGTTATGCCATTATAGTGGGGTCTGAGTCACTGGTGCCATCTCCCAGCGACCCGAGCACCCACAACATTTTTGCAGTGGGTGCCCATGGGTGCCCGACCTCTGCCATGACCACTGCCTCTGCGGGCTGCCCGCAACATAGCATAATACCCAATTTAGCATCAGCTGACAGCCATAGAATTGTAAGCTGTTCTCATTCTCTAACTTCCTCCATGTTATGAAAGGAGCTTGAAAGCCTCATTATCGCCTCATCCAATTGTGCGGTGCTCCTACAGACGATGCCATTTCTTTTGCTCTGAACAAAGTCCTAGAGCAGCAGTCACTTGTGTTCCCCTCTGCATTACACCATGGGCACACACACCGGAGCAGCTGCCTGGGGGAGACAGTCTCTTCCAAATGTCTGCATTGCCGCTGCGGTCTTAATGAAATAGAAAATATTAAAACTGCCATGCAATAAGAAGCCACCTAAGCAGCCGTCGTGCTTTACTTTATTCAAATAAGCCTAGGTAGCATATTATGCTCCTCCCCTGCCCGGTCTGCTTGGGCTTTGCCTGCTCTTGGGAGTCCAGGGAGCAATGAAATGGATGAGGTTTTTTTGCTCTTGCTTGAGAGAGCAGGAGGCCTGTCAGTTCCAATCCCCCTGCCAGCTTCCCAGAGCCAAGGTGGCGGCAGGAGTGACGGATGTGCTGACACATCCATGGAGCCGCAGAGCTCTGATCTCCTTGGATCATCCGAGCTCAGAATGTAGGCCTTTTAAGCTGTTAGGAACGTCTTCAGCGATTAGTGGCATCTAAAGAGATAGGGAGGGATTTTTAAACTTGCTAGAGAACTATTTTCAATCGGGGTTTGTTAGATGGGTTGTAAATGGGGAGATTGTCGTCTATTGCTCAGTCTATTCCTCTCTGCCTTGTTAATCAGTCAACAGACATGAAGCATTTGGTACATAAATAGTTGGTTAAGTCCAGCCAGAGGGGGGGAAAGAGGGGAAGCAATTGGTTGCTACTAAAGAACTGGACGCGGGTGGCGCTGTGGGTTAAACCACAGAGCCTAGGACTTGCCGATCAGAAGGTTGGTGGTTTGAATCCCCACGACGGGGTGAGCTCCTGTTGCTTGGTCCCAGCTCCTGCCAACCTAGCAGTTCGAAAGCACATCAAAAGTGAAAGTAGATAAATAGGTACCACTCCGGCGGGAAGGTAAATGGCATTTCCGCGCGCTGCTCTGGTTTGCCAGAAGCGGCTTAGTCATGCTGGCCACATGACCTGGAAGCTGTACGCCGGCTCCCTCGGCCAATAAAGCGAGATGAGTGCCGCAACCCCAGAGTAGGTCACAACTGGACCTAATGGTCAGGGGTCCCTTTACCTTTACCTTTAAAGAACTGGGGGGTGTATCTGCTAAAAATTTGAAGCAGTATCATAACACTTCAAATAGTCATGGCTTCACCCAAAGAATCTTGGGAATTGTAGCTTGTTATGGATGCTGAGCATTGTTAGGGTACCCCTATTCCTCACAGAACTACAGTTCCCAGGGTTCCCTGGGAACAGGGATTGATTGTTAAGCCATTCTGGGAAATGGAGCTCCTAACAACTCTGCACTCTTAGCAAACTATGGTTCTCATGATTCTTTAGGGGAAGCCAAAACTATTTACCAGTAATAGTATGATGTTATTTTAAATGCATAGTGTGGGTGAGGTCTATTGAAATTAATGGGTCTAGGTCAGTCATGTCCGTTATCTTCAGCGGGTCTGATCTGACTAGGAGCAACATTGGATACGGCAATAAAGTTTTAATGCTCATACCAGGTAATAGCATGGAAAAGTTCTTGCTTGTATGCTGGCTATTGGGCCTCACTTTCTCTGAGTCTAACTTCTATGTGAAGCCTCATTCCTTGCCTCTGAAGTCTGCTGGTATAGCTATGGGTTGGCATTTTCATTTCTTTCAATTCCACATGGCTTCCCTTTTCTCCTTAAAATGTTTTCTGTACCATTTCACATTTATTTTTCTCCCCCCTGTTCTTGGAAACTGCATTTATATGTTTAGTCTAAGTTGACTTTGTATGTGTGTGTATATACCTATGTATCTGTATCTATGCACACTTCTTTTCTCAGTGGGGAGATGGTTAAAAAGGGGAAAAATCATTCTCATAACTTAAATGTTTGGAGTGTCATTGAAACCACCTTGGCAATTTTTTTCTGTTTGCAGAGCAGCTGTCTGGGTAATACGCTCAAATCTTTCACTGTCACGTATTATCATAAAGTCATTTTAGCAGAACCATTTTTAATTCACTCTAGTCTGCTCCTCCTACAAAGGAATGTAAAACCATCCTTTGTAGGGTAAATTTAGTGCCATATTAATTCAAAGAATTAGAATAATAAACTTTAAAAAATGGAAATTAATAGGAGCTTTGGGGTTAATGCATTAAGTTCCTTTCAGGTTAATTGTGTGTAGACTAGGATTTGGGAGAGTGAGTTTTTATTTTATCTTTTGGCTCGCTTAACTGGCATAACACGAACTACCCATATTTCAGCTTGTAGGCAGGAAAAGCAATTCCTCACAGGAAGGTGGGACAACCTTTGCCTCTTACTATGGTATGAAGGCCTCTTCCTATGGCATTACCTGTGTGCATTGGCAAAGCAACCACCTTGAGAGGGAGTGGTTAGGGTGACATGTATGTGAAATGTAGTAGGGGGATGCTCAATAAACAGGTGATGTCATGTAACCTCTAAGCAAGTTATGCAAACGTATAGGCACAAATTCCCATTAAAGAGCTGGTTCCAAAACTCCCGTGGTGCCAGGGTGTGGGGTCTGAAGGGCATTAAGGCTACCACCTTGTTGAAGCTAAGGAGATTTGGGGTCTGCTCAGTGCCTGAATGGATGATTGCCTGCAAACTGTATGTTGATTTTGGGCTCCGTGATGGGGAGAAATGGGGGGGGGGAGGATTTAACTGTAATAAAATAAATATCTGTAGTGCTACAGTCTAAACCCTTCAAAGATGTTCCAGGGTTCCTTACTGAATGTTAAAAAAAGGTTTTCAAAATGGTGTGTGTGGTTTAAGAATACAGAACCAAAAGGACAAATAAATGAATTCCCCAGGAGTACAGTTTCGTGGTGGGCAGAACATTACTGAATTTTCAGCATGTTTCCCCCTCCAATTCATTTTGGTTTTAACATAGGAGTGATATCCAATTAACTCATACTTAAAGATAAAGGGACCCCTGACCATTAGGTCCAGTCGTGGCCGACTCTGGGGTTGCGGCGCTCATCTTGCTTTATTGGCCGATGGAGCCAGCGTACAGCTTCTGGGTCATGTGGCCAGCATGACTAAGCCGCTTCTGGCGAACCAGAGCAGTGCACGGAAACGCCGTTTACCTTCCTGACAGAGCGGTACCTTTTTATCTACTTGCACTTTGACGTGCTTTCGACCTGCTAGGTTGGCAGGAGCAGGGACCGAGCAACGGGAGTTCACCCCGTCGCGGCGATTCGAACCGCCGACCTTCTGATCGGCAAGCCCTAGGCTCTGTGGTTTAACCCACAGCACCACCTGCGTCCCTCTAACTCATACTTAGAGTGGGCCAATGGCACTGAAATCAATGGACTTAAGATACTCTGTTGATTTCAGCCGGTCTACTCTTGAATATGACTAATGTTGTCTGTCACCCTATGACATAGCTTTTTCTACTTGGGGAGATAAATGGGGGTGGGGACGACCCCCCCCCCACCCACGCTGCACTATTCTGCCTTAATGCTCAGCCAAAAGCCAGCCTTCTCCAAACTGGCGAG